TGGTATAATAGTATTGATATTGGTATAATTAGAAAAAATCGATTTGAATCGTTATTTGATATTAATTACTACTAATCGGATTTTTTTTAACTGATATATATCGATATATATCAATCACTAACTAACTCGATAGTTATCGTGAGGGGGTATTTATATCGATTACTATCTAATAACCGATTAATATCGATAGTAATCTCCTTGCAAATTTTGGTGATGCTAAGTAATAATATAATTTGTATTTGCGCAAAAAAAGTTTTATGTGCTAATTTTTTATAACATGAACGGATTCTATTTTTTGAGATATTTTGAACATGATACAAGAAATCTTCAAGACTTGGCGGAGAAGATTTAGGAGTATTGATATAAGAAATAAAAGATTCACAAAAAATTTTTTCGTTTAGCGTATCCATGATGTACAGTACTGCTGGATCAACTGCATGTATTATTAATAAAAACAAATGCAAGATATAGATCAATTTTCATGTGATAAAATATCATGTGATTTAAGTATCAATGTGGCAAAACATAATGATAACTTTATATAATAAATAATCTCTATGAATTCGATTTTTAGTGACAATTAAAATCAAAAGAATTTTATATTATTTGTCACCGAAATTAAGATACAGAATTATGTTTACGTATTGTTTTAAAATAAAAATTAAAACTACGAAAGATTTGTGTTACGTTCTTTTTGTAGGGCACATATATATTCTTATCGTTTTAACAAACATTTTAACTTGGAACAAATCAAAACAAGGTAGGAATAAGAAGAATAACAAGAATTCAAAGAAAGATAGGAAGCTATATTTGAAATTTCTTGTTTGCTTAAAAAGAAAACTTTGTCTGAATAGTTAACAACAAATCTTAGCCTTAGAAAAGTACTGTAATATTAAAATAAGCATTTTTACATAATCAGAAAGACTATATACGAAATTTTAAGCTTTGGGGATTCTAAAATATCTTGCCAAGTAATTTACAAATCACATTATACAGTTTTACTCATCCAAAATTCTAATTTTAAATCTATAAAAATCACTTCAATCCAAAACAATTTGTAAGTCATGTACACTTTCATCTTCAATAATTATATTTAAATCTTGTATCTGTAAGCTATATCTTATTAATAATTGCAGGACGAAAATTATGAAGTTCAAATAGAATTATTGTTATTATTAAAATGATCATTTAAAGTTTAACATAATATAAATAATGTAATTCGTGATCTTTTTCATGATTGGTAAATTGCATCTTATTGATGATTGGCCAAATTTATTAGTTTAATCAATTAGAACAATAAAATGATAAAATTATCAACCGATAAATTTAAATTCAATTGAATTTAATGAGTTCAGCTATTATCAATTTTTCTAATATTGATATTAATAATAAATTACAATAGACAAACTGAAAGATCAAATAAAGAGTATGTCCTATAATGTCACAAGTATCACAAAATCCCGACTGAGCAAAATGATAAATATTATTTTCAACCTTAAACAAGACTACAAAATAAAAAATAATAATTAATACATATTTGATTTAAAAATTTTAAATATAAGATTATGATAAAAATTAGATATATACCTATTAAACAAAACAATCCAATGTAGTTCAATTCTGAATACCGAACAAGAATAGCGAAGCCAATGAAATTCAAAAATGAACAACTGATGAAAAAAATGCAGATAAACCAAAAAAGTGTATGTCCCAAAATTTTATGAAAAGATCCAGATTGTGCAAAACGACAGATATGGTTATAAAGTTCAGTTCTAATTAAGACTGTAAAATGTAAAAATAATTAGTACTGTACTTGAGTAAAAAACTTAATGAATGCTTTTATATATACCCAATAAACAAAACCATCCAATATAATTTGAATCAGAATACCAATTAATGTTAACGAATTTGTTGTTAAAAAATCTGCTATAGTTAACGAATGAATACCAATTCCATGTTGAAATCACAATTCTTAAAATGAATACAATATCTATAATGATTTTTTTGTTGGTTGCTAAAGGTAGCAATATAACAGGACCAAACATTAAGAAATTCATTTTGTAGACATTTGCCACGTCTTCATAGCTGTAAAATGTAAAAAAAACAAAAAAAAAACAAAAAAACATTAACTATATAAAGCAAAGCAAAAATAATAAAAAAAATAGAATTTACAGTAACAAAACTTTGATCAAAGGTCTAATTGGTAATTCAAAGATAAAGTCTAATACCTAAAATGCAAAATGCGAATTTAGCTAAAAAAAAAAAAAAAAAAATTTCTAAAGCAATATTAACATACTCTAAAAATAATAACTCCGGATGCAATAACAAGGCAAAAACTTTGAGCAAATGGCTTTGAATAGCTTGTTCAGAATTTTCTTGATTTAAAGGTTGCGTATTCATATTTTTACAAGTTAGAATTCAAACCTGATAAATTTCTAATTATTTTATAAATTTTTATATGTACTCGGTAAGAATTATTTCATCTTATATATATCTTATTATTTAATTTAAATAGCATATGCATGTGGGTTTTCCCTTGACGGCACTCATATACATTATACTATTGCAGATCCTATATATTTTAAATACTTGTTTTTTAAAGAAATTGCCACCTTTATCTTTTTATATTAATCATATAACAGTATAATATATTATTTTGTTGTGACCCCAGTTTTTTTTAATAGGGATATATGTTTTCTAGTTATAAATATATTTAAATAAAACTTACACGAATTCCAATGGTATAGAGAAAAAACGCATCAGAATATCGAAGTGCCAAAGTTTTTTGAAATTGGAACTCATACAATATATTCCTTGCACCTACTATAGAGAAAAACGCATCAGAATAACGAAGTGCCAAAGTCTTTTGAAATTGGAACTCATACATTATGGGCGATAATACAGTATAATTTTCAAGTACAAACTAATATAAATTCCGAAAGCAGTAATAGCGCAATAACCACCAGGATCAGGTAAACCTTGATTATGTGGAATCGTACAGCCTTACCTAGAAATCTGTCTCTATCGGTGTTCATATTTTTGCAAAGTAATTGGTATTTTATAATAAATACTCTTAGTTTATAACAATTAGTTTAAAACAAGTTTAACTATAGATCTTCAATTTTAAAATATTTTAATTTATACAACAATATTAATGTAATAGCGTATTAGCATATATAAAACAAAATTCAAGTTTTGTAGAGTAACGTGTTCATAATATATTTTTTATTGACATATATTTAATGTGGCAGATTAAAATGAAATCGGATTAAAATGAAATTTTTCTATTTTTTTAGGAAAATTTAAAATTTTTTGG